CAACTCGTGTTATTCCAGGACAAGCCGAATTGCGACTCTTGCTCCTCTCAAGGCCATTTTTGCGACCGGGTTCCGTCCTAGCGCAAATGGGTGAGTGAGTGAGTGAGTGAGTATGGTTTTACGCCGCTTTTAGCAATATTCCAGCAATATCACGGCGGGGGACACCAGAAATGGGCTTCACACATTGTACCTATGTCGGGAATCGAACCCGGATCTTCGGCGTGACGTAGCGCAAAAGGGTATACCTAAAACAATTGTCAGCTCGTTGCGTTATGGTTCACATATATTTCCCCATATATTATATTATACATTTCAGATGCAATTTAAAGCACATCGGGATGTGCGGAATTATACAGTATGATTGAACACATTTAACTGTGTCTTGGGTACATTTTTAGATCCAAGACATATGTAAAATCAAAAATTATTTCTGAGGGATTCTTTGACGAAAAACTTGAAATCATACGCGCATTCTAATTGGTTTGACGTATTTTCGCACTTAACATTCATCGATCGGGGGACGAGTTTTCTTGCAGGTTACGGAAAGAGACGAGTGTTGACGAATGTGGTTATTCTCTTGCATTGACAATTAATATTTTATGAGGAAATTTAGGTTTGATCACAAAATTCAATCTGTCTCATACTTGAAATGTGTTATGTACAGACCGTGGTTATGATATTTCGTGATATCTCTGTTTTAGATATATTGCACAGGCCTGTTCGTGTTTTTGTCTGATAAGTGTTATGAATGTTCAAGAAACATATGTACTGCAATATGATTGCTTACATTTTAATTTCCCCTAGCTACGCCCCTGGAAACAATTGGATAGCACAACTGCTTCTGCTGTTAACTACAGAACTGTGTCTGTTACTGATACATGTATTGACAACTAGAATCCTCTTGATGTTTCAGATCAACCTAAGGATTGCCCGTCTGTTCTCAGGATGAAGTGTTAAGTGATCCCATTATATTATACCCTGATGTTGCAGACGGTACAGTTACTCGCATTCAAAATAATATTGTTTCGGCGAAATCTATTTTTCAAATTTCTGAAGCTCCTTTTGATCACCCTTAACAATGGACTGCGTGAACAAACAGACCAATGATATTGCTAAACATTGCTGAGAAATGCATTCCAGAAAGTGAAACTTCCCTAGGAGTTGCCACTGAAGATAATAATAATAATAATAATAATAATAATAATAATGCGAATCAAGATGATGATGATGATGATGATGATGATGATGATGATGATGTACACAATGAGCAATCTGTGCGGTTAGAGGTACTCGCGCTTGCCGTCTCAATCGAAATTTAAAGAAAAGGTTAAGTGAAGAATGCAAATCAATGCGAAGAAAAATTAATAAAGCTTAAAAAGCAAACGGGCTCAACACTTTAAAACAGAGCACATTATCACCAAATGTCCAAAACATGCATGGATAAATACTTAAGAAAACATCAAAATATTGCAAATAAGATGTTCGGTGATAAAGAGAAACATTCTCCAAAAGAGTATTGGAGACTTCTAAAAAAACTTAACGCTATAACATCTGACAATACTCCCGAGATTGAAACGTGTTTTGACTTTCACAATGACCTGAATAAAACCAAGTGTGATATTGATTGCCCGATAATGATATGGAAGGAGATAGAGTACATGACACTAAAGCTTTAAACAAAGATATTGATATATTGAAAAGAAATACAACTTCTGGATTATACTTCGTTGAGAACTATTATCTTATCGATGTTGTAGAATACTTGATCCCACTTCTGTAATTTAGTTTTAAACTCTGGACACGTCCCAGACACTTGGCTTCAGGGACTGCTAAACCAACCTCGTGCAAATAATTCTCAGGTGTTTTGGAAAACTTTTTACAAGTAAACTAAACAGATGACTTGCATATTTTTTAGAAACAAATTATATTTGAACTCAAGCAGGATTCAGAAAGGACTTCCCCGTAAGCGATAACATATTTGTTCTATATATACTATCCTTGTGGAAATTCTGAAATTATCCCAAAATATACTGTACTGTGTCTTCGCTGACTTCACAAAAGCTTTTGACACTGTGTGGGAGCCTGGTCCGGGGAACAAATTATTAAACGTAGCATTAATGGAACATTTCTTGCTCTTGTTAAAAATATGTACCACAACATCAAGCCTACTGTTTTACTTAGGGGCAAGAGTGGCCCAGTCGTCTGAGGCGCCGCGATTCGCTGTGCAGAGTTGCATACCTTGGGCCTCTCAGAAACCTATGATTGTGGGTTCGAATCCCGGCTCGCTCCGATTATGTTTCTAGGTTTGTCAGCACCATACCCATACTATTTAAACAAGGATGTAGATGTGTGAATCTAGAGCATAGGGAAGACAATGACATATTCCTGTGGCTACAGTTAATATTATATGCTGGGGCGGTCGGGTAGCCTAGTAGTTAAAGCGTTCGCTCGTCACGCCGAAGACCCGGGTTCGATTCCCGACGTGGGTACAATGTGTGAAGCCCAATTCTGGTGTCCCCCGCCGTGATAGTGCTAGAATATTGCTAAAAGCGGCGTAAAACCGTACTCACTCACTATTATATGCTAATGACGTTCTGTTCAGTGACAACCGAGAGGAGTTAATCACTTGATGCATTTCACGAATAGTGTACTTTGTGGAAACTGGATGTGAATCTCTCTAAAACCCAAGTAATTATTTTTGGAAGTGGACCCGCTACATACTCAAGTCCTAAATTATTCACGTTTGAGAGATTGTTGATAATTATACATGTCTTGGGACAAAGTTTCATAGAAACAGGAGATTCACAATAGCAATAAAAATGTAAGTAGAAAATGTTTACTGTAAACCTACACACATCGTTATGTTTGAATCCTAACCCCGATCAAAATGAGATCCTTATCACCTTTTAAGGCTTCAGATATTTGGCCCACATTTTAGCCACGCTGGTGAAATACACACGTTTATATCCCACCGGGGCGGTCAGGCTGACCTAGGATTACAAGCAAATTAATTTCGACGTACATTGACGTTTCAAAATATTTTTGTGAGCGAGTCTTTTCAGCAGTTGTTCCGTTATATTAAGACATGTGAGCCTAATGTCGAGTGAGTTATACAGTTCGTAGATGTTTATGTGCATATGAGATGAAACTCACGAACACAGGTATGGTACTGACAAACCGATCGGCAATTGGACACGTATCCCCCACCCCAACTCGTCCTTTAGTTAGGGATTACCTAAAAGTCGGCCGAAGGAAAGTCGGGCCGGGCCAGCGGGTAATACTAAAAATGGATTGTAGAATAATAAAACGAAACGTGCATATCTAGGCAGACCTCAAATGTCCACAAACGTATAGTTTTGCTCATTTAATTGAGTTTGAATCAAAATGCATCTTCAACAATGTAATAAACGTGTTACAAATTAATTAACTTTGGCAGTGAGTCGTTCTTTAAAAAATATCATACCGAGTTTGCAATTCGTGTCGTGACTCTCAAATCAATTCTCACGAGTGACGTCATATCAGTACCGACAAATGGCGTCTCCAGCAAGATCAATCGACGCCAACTGCAAACACGCATTTTTAGACCATTTGACCGTTTTTAGCATGGGAAATCAGCATTCAAGTTAAAATACGAATTGTCTGTACATGGAAAATATAATTCAGGCAATGGACGTGTGTTAATAAACATCTGAGAAATCCGAGCTGAAACATCCTCATACTCCCCACCATATGAATAACAACAGGTGTGTCAACAACATTAATAACGTTTTGTAACAATGTCATGTGCAACACATGTAAAACATGGTATACAATACCGTAACCCGCATCACTATAGCGTCACCCATTATCTCGACTGCTGTAGCACAAATGAATGTGTGCTTTAGAAAGATAATACTGTAAAAGGACAGATGTGTTGGTGGGGCGATCTATAGAAACATAACCTGTTGTTTCAAAATGTGTGGTCGTTGCGTTGTAATATCAGATATGAAGAAGCTACAACTGTCAACCGAATTTGTAGGATGTGTAATACGAATAGCATTGAAGATGAACTTCATTTCATATTTGATTGCGAGGCATATGTATTGTTGAGAAATAGGTACATACTGAAGTGGCATATTTCATCAAACATTTGTAAATTTCATAAATTACTGACTTCTAGTGATGTGTTAATCCTTAACAAATGTGCTAAGTTCGTTAAAGAAGCTCTGAAATGTAAATATGCACTCGATAGTGAATATATTGTGTCATCTACCGCCTGATTGTCACATATATATATCTATGATATTGTTGTATCAACTGTGTACTTGGGCCGATGGCCTTCAGATCTGAAATAAACTTACAGTTTCCCTGGTCAACGTGCCGTTATACAAAGCGATGTTAGTGCTAGGGTGATCGTAACTCTCATACCTAAACGTAGACTTACGACAGTCGTAGCGTTAAGCTGCTTTGTACAACGGCCCCCAATTCAGCATCTCCATCCATGAGCACGAGCGTGAAAGATCACCGTGTATGTCAGCGGGGGAATGACCCGTGGCCTCTGATTTGATGGTGCTAACATTCCACGCGTGTGCAGCTCAATATTTCACCTAACTTCATCCAAAAAAATATAAACAAAGACCCTTACCCTTCTTTCTTTTCCTCGGAGGGAGGGGCCAACATGGTGTCGACACTGCTGTTGGTTCCTTGTTCAAACACAATATAACGTTTATCCCGTACAAGCCCGAGCTACGTATTTCGCGGGTGAGGAGGACCTCCAACTCTCCTTGGTCGATCGTTATAAACTAGGTGTGTTGTCGCTTAACATCCAAAACTCGCGGCAAGGTATTTTCTTCCAAGAAAGGACACAACCTCAGATAGCCAGCCCCGGGTAGATAAAATGCCATGCTGGGGAACGGGAGCATTCTATTTACACCCGACCTCTCGTTGACATACTCATTGTAGCTTACATCATGCATCGTGGCATTGGGGCTTTACATATATCATGACACACCTTGTTTCCCCTGGAAGATCGCCTTGTTCAAACTTTCGGAATACAGAAAGACGGAGTGTGAGAACCTTCAGATATTTGTTTTTGTCAACTCTGACAAACATTCTGATCAGCCATTCAACATCAAGGCTTCTAAATTTTCGGTAAGAGTGAGCGAAGTATTCAGTCACATATATATAATTTTTGTACCTTGAAAACGAACATAATCGAGCAGATCCGAATGCAAAAATATAAAGCCACGTCATTATATTGCTGCGGATAGTATACACATGCAGCGTTTGTGAGGGCCAATGGGGTGTTCTGTGGAGGGTATACTTGTGGTCCGTGTTTTCTTTGGAAAACATTAAAATTTCTTCAGTTAAAGTCTTTTTATATGATGTGAAGCCTATTGATGGTGTTTCCCCAATCTCATTAAAATCAGATCTTAGTTCTCGCTACCCCTAAACAAAGATCTGAGGACATCCCATTACGGGTCACGTCAGACCGAACTTGCGCTTACTTTGACCGACCAACGGAATGACCAATCAGAAGGCAGCTTTCTCGTGATTTACGGCACTAATTTCAAATTGGCGACTACGCTTCGAAACATATTTTGACAAATTCTCGATTACAAATTTGAAACCTAAACAAACGAACATTCTGGACCATTCCGACGTTCATACAGTTTGGCCCTCACTCTATGAAGGTTCATACTCAACGTCAATTTCGCGGTCATGTGACCGACCTCTTGTCCAATGGAAAAGCCGTATATCGTGTAAACTTCAAATTAAAAAATAATTCTCTGAATGACGTCATGTACGTTATATTTTCAAATGACGTCAAGATCACATGCTGTCTGGCTAAAAGCGAATATTTGTTGACACTCATAACAGCTCTTGAAGACAAAATATATATTTGAAAAATAAGGTCTGGATAAAAGTGGTAATGCAGTAAAATGGTGTGCTGTATTTGATTACGCAAAGCGTTTGCCAACGTTTTCCAACAATTCTCTAACATCGGCCCAATCTGACAGATGCAGAAGACTTGGTAACTAGCCATGAAGCATATATCGCCACTGTTCAGTAAAAATGAACGCCTCCGTGGTGAAGTGGATAGTGTGTCTGTCCGGCGAGGTGGTACGTGGTTCGATTCCCTGGTCGCGTCATACCAAAATATGTCAAAAGATGGTACTTGTTGTTAACCTGCCTAGCATTTGGGGATGAAACAAGGACTGGTCGGCTCGGACTCGGTATACTGTGTCTGAGTGGGGTATCCATGACAAACTGAGGCATGGTATCTCAGTGGGCTAGCACTATAGAACAGGCATTAGTCCGGGCTAATCATGAACGCGCCCCCTTTCAGGAAAACATCTTGGTACTATTTATTCTCTTCTGTCAGAAGTAGATATTATAACCTGTTATCAGTAAGTCAGTATGTGACGCCGCGTTTACCCGCAATATCATTGTACCCACATGGGAATCGAACCCGGGGTTTCGGCGTGACGAGCGAACGCTTCAACCACCTGGCAAACCCACAGCCACTGTTCATGATCAAGCCTTATAAGGAGTTTCGGTGTGCATGTGCACTGTTTCACTCAATTGCGGCCGAGGACAAATCAAACAAAGCTGACCGAATAAGGATTGATTGCATAGCTTGTAAATGACACCGTGACGATGAGGCTACAGTAGGGGTACATTTTATATTGTTGTTTTGAAGAAGTAAAGTTAGATCAGCGTCATCGGTCACATATGAGCTCGTACCATCCCAGGAGTGACCCGTATACACACGGTACACACAAACCTGCGATAAGAGTGAGTGAGTATGGTTTTACGCCGCTTTTAGCAATATTCCAGCAATATCACGGCGGGGGTCACCAGAAATGGGCTTCACACATTGTACTCATGTCGGGAATCGAACCCGGGTCTTCGGCGTGACGGCAGGTTTGGGACTGAGAATGGATCAATGCACGTGTCTGAATGCAACACAGACATGTTGCTGCGTCGCTACCTGCCCATATTCCACTCAGTGAAAGGGGCGAGTGTTGTTTAACGCCACGGTCAAGTTTGACTTGTTTCAGGGTCTGTATGAAAGACAACCGGACTTACGCGTTGTTATTTTTTCAAATAAATAAAAATATGACAGTAACCCCCGGGATGACACATTCTGGCATAACGTTCACTTTTCAGAGTGCCGCGATTCGCTGTGCAGAGTTGCGTCCCTTGGGCACGCCAGAAACCTATGATTGTTAGTTCGAATCCCGGTTCGCCCCGATTATGTTTCTAGGTTTGTCAGCACCATACCCGTGCACGTGGGTTTCACCGAAGTGGTAAACGCCTGAGACCTGCATCACTTCGGTCTTTCCTCCCACATTAAGCTGACACGCCGCGATATACAATGTAACTGGAATACTGTTAAAAGCGGCGTTAAACCCAACTCACTCACTCACTTTTCAGAACAAAAGTGCGCGTTAGAAACTTAATACGGATTCTGAAACAATATTTCATTCACTGCGTATCAGCTTAATATACGGAAGGACGTTTGTTTATTTAATCCGGACGAGTTAACATGGATCTGTACAGTCGAGATTAGCGAGGTCATACTGCTGAAAGATATGACCGAGATCTGGTTCATGTGGCGTATGTTGTGGCAAGAAACAGTGACCCATACTTCGTCAGTAAATAAAAATTCGTTATCACTGACTGGGGCGATTGGCTCTGTCGATGTGTATGTGCGGTGAATATAGGCACTACTGTTTTTTCATTTTCATATCCCAGATGCGGTTACGAGTGTGAGTTTGAGTTTGAGAGAGTGAATGAATGAGAGTGTGAATTTAAAGTTGAGTTTGAGTATGGTTTAAAGCCCAATCACAACGGGGGACACAATATTTGTCTCCACACAAATGTAAATGTTTCTTTCTTGTTTAACGCCGCATTCAACAATATTTCAGCTGTATGACGGCGGTCTTTAAATAATCGAGTCTTGACCTGACTATCCAGTGATTGACATGATGAGCATCGATCTACGCAACTGGGATACGATGACATGCATCCACCACCCGCTCCCTGACGCCACCCCCTACGACCAGCATATGTGTCTGTGGAACAGTTCCAACCCGGAATCCCCACAGGGGTGTGGGGTGTGTGTGTGTGGATGTGTGTGTGTGTGGGGTGGGGGGTGGGGGGGTGGGGTGGGGGGTTGATCAACGTGTTCATTACAATTGAAGCGACGTGTCCATGTACACACTAACACAGCATCAAGCAAGTGTCATCAGTCATCCAAGGTCATGGAGTACGTGTATTCGGGCTAATCTATTAACCGACAAAGATATATGCCTGATTACATTCTCAGCTTCACGGCCATGACGATGTTGCTATTCATAGTTTAACTTGCATGACATCATTCATTTTGAAACACTGTAAGGGTCATCAAGGTCTTAATTGGACATGTTTTATCGCTTGCTTTGCATTTTTTTTCTTTTTTAAACCATCTGCAGTCGAATACAAAATAAAATTTAAAAATCTTTTCAAACAAAATTTCAAAATTAGCTATACGTTTTGCCTCTTCAAGAACACCCTCCAAAATCTATGGTGGAAGAATTCTAAAGAAAGGTTTTCCATTGTCATGTGATAACAAAACAGATACAATGAAAAAGATAACCAGGTAATTGTTACACGGGGTGGTTTTCATGTTTAAAAACATAATTCAGGCACAGAAAATGGCAATGAAACAAATGTTTCATAGGCAGTCATCAATATGGTGAAAGTCATTTGAACAGAATTAATTAAATATTCGCTCACATTTCCAGAACAATCGTCAATATCGAAAACCGAGTGTGCATCCTACAAAGATATTCTAAGAGCACTGTGGTACAGTGGGATAGTCAAGCAGTTACAGCCTTCATATTGTTGGAATATTGCTAAGCGCCGAGTAAAACCAAATCCACCCCCTTAAGAGCACATGACATCACAAATTAACGCTCTAGTCATACCTATACTTTTGTAATGCTTCATTAAGTGAATGTATACTACTAAAAATAAGTTAAAGAACCCCCGTTTGTTTCACATGACTATAGTTAATCCGTCATTGAAAAAGAGGTAGACATATTTTGTGAGGAACAGTATGAACAGCTAAAACATGAGCTAAATTGTTGAGAAAAAGATGATGTCACAAGTGCAATAAATGTATTAATAGACGCATAATGCGGTTCGTGGAGGTAAAAAACTGTTGTAAATATATTCATGTTAATTGTCAGCATATGATTTAACTGCAGGTAAAACAAACCAAGTGATGTCGTGACCAGATTTGAAAAGAAATTAACAGCAATGAGTGGCGGTTCCAGACTGGTTTGTATTAGTTTTTAGAGTTATCTGCCCTTGTTGTGCATATAAACATGGTAAGCTACATCGTTGTAGAAGTTTCTGAAAGGCAGGTTGCGCCTAAACAAGTGAGACAAGGAGGCAATTCGGCCACAGGAACTCGATATTGGTCAGTAAATATAGACCAAGATATACCCCCATGTATAAGAAGAGAAGTTGGGTCTTTTTCGACCGGCGTTGTTTCTAATCTCCTTTCCAAGTGGGATCAAGTGGCGGTTTGGAAACCGTGAACTAAGTGATATTTAAATATATATTTCCAACTGCAGCGTAACACAACTTACAAACATTATTTAACATGTTGAAATTGATGTTGATAAATACATCGATAGTATGTAGCTTAGACATCAAAAGTGTCCAAAAGTAGTAGTAGTAGTAGTAGTAGTAGTAGTAGTAGTGGCAGTAGTAATAGTAATGGTGGTAGTACAAGCAGTGGTAGAAATGAAAGTATGTTATTATTATTATCATTCTTATTATTATTAGTAGTAGTAGTAGTAGAAGTAGTAAAAGTAGAAGTAGAAGTAGTAGTAGTAGTGGTAGTAGTAGTAGAAGTAGTAGTAGTAGTAGTGGTGGTAGTAGTAGTAGTAGTGGTAGTAGTAGTAGTGGTAGTAGTAGTAGTGGTAGTAGTAGTAGTGGTAGTAGTAGTAGTAGTAGTGGTAGTAGTAGTAGTGGTAGTAGTAGTAGTAGTAGTAGTAGTGGTAGTAGTAGTGGTAGTAGTAGTAGTAGCGGCAATGGTAATAATGGAGGCGAGTAGTGGTAGCAATAGTGTAGTGGTTATGGTAGTAGTTGCAGTAGTAGCAGTGGTAGTAGTAATGGTAGTCCTAGCAGTGGGAGCAATGATAGTATGTCAGCTGTAGTAGTAGTAGTAGTAGTAGTAGTAGTAGTAGTAGTAGTAACAATGGTAGTAGTGCCGTAGTGGTAGTAATAGTGTGGTGGTAAAGGTAGGAGTAGAAGAAGTTGTCGTAGTGAGTGAGTGAGTGAGTGAGTATGGTTTTACGCCGCTTTTAGCAATATTCCAGCAATATCACGGCGGGGGACACCAGAAATGGGCTTCACACATTGTACCCATGTCGGGAATCGAACCTGTGTCTTCGGCGTGACGAGCGAACGCTTTAACCACTATGCTACCCGACCGCCCCTAGCAGTGACAGTTGCAGTAGTGGTAATGGTAGTAGTATTAGTAGTAGTGGCAGTGGTAGTAGGATTCCAGTTTTGTGTAAGTACTATCAGTATCTTGCATCACTATTACTCATAAAAAATGTTGATCTGCCTTAGCTGTGACCTGTTTAGATGTTGTTTAGTCAGCATTTTGCAAGCTCATCAAGAATACAGGTTACCCCTTTGGATGTTACCATGCATGTCTTTTATGGTAACTGTTAACATGAACTTGACTGGAATCATAGATATCACGACTGTGGACTGTGGTCGGGTAGCCTAATAGTTAAAGCGTTCGCTCGTCACGTCGAAGACCCAATTGTGTGAAGCCCATTTCTGGTGTCCCCCGTCGTGATATTGCTGTAATATTGCCAACAGCGACGTAAAACCATATTCACTCACTCACTGACTATTTGGAAAAAAAGGCTTGTTTTCCTGTTAGTATAATTATTTTATGTTGAATCACGGATGTGTGCGTGTCTGTGTGTGTGTGTGTGTGTGTGTGTGTGTGTGTGTGTGTGTTAAAATATCATTGGTGTTATAACTAATATTGTTTTCGAATGACGGACATAGAATATTTATTGTTCTCTAGTATTTTGTATTATAAATCCTACAAGAAGAATATATCATAACATCGAATATTAACAAAATCATAATGTATATCTTGATTTATTATCTGTATCGTAGTGAACTAATCTTCCAATTTATATAATGAATAAAATTAGTTTTAATTAAATAAATACAACATACGTTTTTGAAAACAACACAATATCGTGACCTACTTACTTCTTTGTTTTGGACGTACTGGTGTTACTTTCCTGGATGTCAGCGGTTTCCAGACTCTTGTCGGTCGTCACTTTGTAAGATTTGCCCATCATAAATTGCAGGTATCCAATAAAACCAAAGGAGTATCAGATCAACCTTAATTGGCTGCGGTCGACTAATCAGGTGAGTTAACTGTCTCTACCATGTGTTGAGATCTCAACCATGCCTCGCATTCATACACGCTACTTCACACTATCCTACTGATGATAAAGACTGACATATTAACCTGGACTTATCTTGTTATAAGGTTATTAGACTTTAAACTTCCTCAACACCCACAAGAGCCGAAACAATGACAAATAACGAAAATACACACCACGGACCCGGTTTAAATTTCCGTGTTTACTTTGGACGTGATAGAAACCGATTGGATTTTCAGCTGTAAATATTCCGATGTGTGTGATTGTAACCACAGTTATGACGCTAAGTGATGGGTTTGTTACTACCTTAAGACAACCTGTGTGGTTACACGTGTGGCATTGTATATACATAGATAACCGAAGAGACGGCGATACCTATTTGTTAAAGCGTTCTCACGCCACGCCTTAAGACCTGAGTTGAATTTCCCACATGGGTACAATGTGTGAAACCCATTCTTTGTTTCCTTCTTTGTGATACTGCTACACATACTACTAAAAAGAAGTTAAAGAACACCAGATTCTTTCATATTACTTTAGTTAATCTGACATGGCATGAAACATTTAACTAGTAATACGAAAGAATTGGGTGTTCTTTAACTTCCTTGGAGTAATATATATATGGGTAAATGAGTGAGTGGGTGAATTTGGTTTAACACCGATTTGAAGGGTATGCCAATTATATCAAGACGTGTCAGCTTAATGCGGGAGGGGGGCACGGGTGGCTCAGTCGTCTAAGGCGCAGCGATTCGCTGTGTAGAGGTGCGTCCCTTGGACACGCCAGAAACCTATGATTGTGGGTTCGAATCCCGGTTCGCCCCGATTATGTTTCTAGGTTTGTCAGCACCATACCCGTGCTCGTGGGTTTCACCGAAGTGGTATACGTCTGAGACCTGCATCACTTGGGGCTTTCCTCCCACATTAAGCTGACACGCCGTGATATAACTGGAATACTGTTAAAAGCGACGTTAAACCAAACTCACTCGCTCACTAATGCGGGAGGAAAGATGCGCTCATAATTATCCCAGCTATAGGACAGCGGTCTGTATAAATAATTGAGTCTGGACGTGTCAGCTTGATGTTGCAGTATTTCAGTCACATCACGGCGTGTCAGCTTGATGTGGGAGGATTGTCCAACGTGATCCCGGGCAATAATGTTTACCACGTGATATACGACGACACCTGTTCGATTCAGGTTGAACTACTGTGTGGGCGAGGCGTCAAAGTTTTAATACAAACACATATTAACACTGTATCTCTGTTAAACGAAGACGCTGGTGACACAGTCTCTCAGCAAGAAAGGGAATGAATTAATGAATGAATGAATGAATGAATGTATGAATGAATGAATGAATGTCTTTATTTCCTCCAGATAAATCCGAAGATCCCCAAAGCATCAAGATTAGGTAATTAAATAATTAAATAACACGATAATCAAACATATCAATGTCCGCATATTGACAGGCTATAAACAGTGAGAAATATTGGTAAGGTTACCACACGTTGTTTAGGATATGTTTATTTGATATAAATACTTTGAGAATTCAATAATAGTGAAATGCCACGTTATTTCATCAATGTCATTGTTATCTGCACCAAGGAAGAATGCTAACATATCATGGTCTTCCATCATCTCTATTTGAACATACATTTCAACATCAAGATTATCAATTAGAGTGGAAAAGAATACATCTCTCTCTGAAAGTAGACATTCACAGTTTAGATGACATGGTGCTAATAATCATGAGCAAAAGTATTACATTTTATACATTCTTTTGATATTTTGCTTCTGGATCCAATCCTTATTACATACTGTATTTCTTCTCTCAATTCTGGATATAACATTACAATGCTGTATAACACATGAGGAGTAAGTGTTGTGTGAATTTTAGAATATCGAGATAGGTCAGCTCTACATGATAGTTTATATTTATTTCCATACTTCTTCCTCGTGGGTAGATATTTCATTTAACACAATCTTTCTCCACTTAGTCTTCGCGGGGAATTCCCCTGTGCGAACGTAGTGAAATACATGATGAAGTAGCTTATATTTCTTGGCTGTTGAAAGCAACACTTCACATAAACTGTGTAAATTATTGTTATAAAAGAAATTGAGTGAAGTTGATGCGCAGAAAAGTTTTACAAATTGAGACACATGAGTTGTTGCGGAGACGCCCCAGCAGCTGTAGTCTACATTTATCTATATAGCCAACCATGCTCCAAAGTCCTAGATTAGCAATAGTGGCATCCGTGGGGGAACGTTTGTCATAACCTTGTACAATCCTTGCAAAGTAACGCTGGGTGCTTTCAGCTAATTCAAGATCTTTACCATGCAGAGGAGGTAGTAATTCACATCCATAAAAACTTGTTGTTAAGATCATTCTTTTCCATATCTCTATACTTGCACACTGATGTAAGTCACCACTATTACAAAGAAACAGTTAGACTAACATTTAGTCTCTGAAATCTTATTACACAATATCCTTCTTGACTCTAAAAATAAAAAATAATTCCCTATGCTGATTTCAGATGTGGAATAGAGCTAGCTTGAGCTGGCTAGACTTGCTTTTGTATGCATTTCTAGATTATTATTTTTCATAAAATAAATATATTCCACAGTCAGGGTGCAGGACTACGATATGATGGAATGCTGCGGAAACTATAACTCATTCAGTGATGTCAGGAACAGATTTTACAGCCGCTTCTGGAACCTCATCCCGGATGGATGGTCAATGTCGCCAGCTGGACTGAATACAAGAAACAGGAGTATTACGGCATTAGGGGTGTTTTGTGTGAAAATAAGGCAAAAAGATTATTTTCCAATATTTTCTTGAACACTTTATTTCTATACCAAAAAGCACAGTGTGTGAGCTGGAGATAAAGTTAGTGATTTGGGTTCAATGTCGGTTTGAAATGTATTTAATTCATTTAATATTTTACTAAAATATTTTTTTTTGCGATTATGGAGGTATAAACGAAAAAGCCAGTGTGTATACTGTTAATCCGCGTAGCGATTCATTGTAATTGAGTGACTTTAATCACAGTTGCTAGGATTGCCAATGTCCAGTGAAGTCTCACTGAAACTAACATGCATCATGTTGGTTGGTTGGTTTGTTGTTTAACGCCGCACTCAGCAATATTCCAGCTAAATGACGGCGGTCTGTAAATAATCGAGTCTGGACCAGACAATCCAGTGATTGATATCATGAGCATCGATCCGCGCAATTGAGATCGATGACATGCATCAACCAAGTCAGCGAGCCTGACCACCCGATCCCGTTAGTCGCCTTTTACAACAAGCATAGTCGCCTTTTACACTTGTCGAAGATCAGCTGATATAAATTGTCCAAGATCAGCTGATATAAATTGTCTAAGATCCGTTGAAACAAAATTTTCTAGATGGACTGGGGCAAATTTTCCATCATCAGCTGGCACAATCTGGCCATTATCAGTTGGCATACATTGTCCATGATGAGTTGGTACAAACTGTCCAATATCAACTGGTACAAATTTCCAAAGTTCAACCAGCATAATAATTATCCATGATCAACTGGTAAAATGTGTCCAATATCAGCCAGCCAGGGCCTTATTATACATAAAATAATAATCAGGTAACAATAATTTTCTTTATTTCCCCCTATTATCTACATGTATGGCTGTAGAAAAATAAAAAGCAGAATTGCACTTCGTCATTATGCAGAAAAGAAACATACAAATGATAGACATAATTGAAAAGCTTTTCAAATATTGTAAAATATTAACAATGAGGAAGAATATGTTTTGATATTTGCAAACACACATGACATACACCTGACATGGTAAACTAACGACTGTGAAATGATGCCAGCTGTCACTTTGTCTTGCAGGCATCTGCATTTATAAAAAATTATTTCAGAATACAAAATTGAATGTTTACTTGCTTGAGTGCCACAAAGAACATATTGATGACAAGTAAAACCTGAAAAATACAAACTTATAAAGAATCAGATCTAAAACTATTTGAACACTAATGTAACAGTATCTCCAAATATAAAAATATTTCTAATGTTATAGTTCATAATTTACTTTCAAATCTGCTTGTGTAAATAATCAAAGCATGTAGAATTCTAAAAGTCATTTGTTCACAATTCAAAAATGCAACAATCAATTTTCCAGTCAAAAACACATTTTATTACTCTCTAACAATACAGACGAACAATGAATGTTAAAAATATTCAGCCTTCATATTCTAGTTTCACCCACAATGCAATTAATTTCTCTTCTGATCTATTTAAGCATAAGCCACACAGCAACTTCTACAGGAGTACTGCACCAAGTCTTAATATCCCTACAATTCACAAATACCATGTGATATTAACTTTCAAATTTACATTCCCAAGTAACACTTTACGTAAACATATGATCTATATTTCTTACCAACCAGAAAAGGCACATTACAAACGGGGGGATTTCCAAACAAATATCATCAGTTTGATCATGAAATGTAATGATGCAGCAATGTACAAACAATTGTGTAAATGGACCAAAAACTACGTGAGTCGAGTCAACCTGGTTCTTTGTGTGATCATCCCCGACAATCCAGGGTATTACATGTACATTCTATAACAATAAATACCCTGGACCAATTCATCACCATAGCTTTGTTTTGAATGGCATAATGCAAATACTTAATGTTCCATTAAATTCCACCGTTCTTTTGTGACTGAAACCAGCAGCTGTTTGTGGCAAGGACATGGTTCGTCCCGTGTGCTGTCTCGTCCTGTGTGCTGTCTCGCCCTGCGTGCTGTCTCAAGTCCAGATAGCACTCCCCTTCCCGGCTTAATACCTGTTATTTTTTTCAAAAACGTTTGCAATTTTGAATGTAGATCTATCGAAACTGACGTTCTGAAGAGGCATTTTGATTGGTTGTTGATTTCAAGCTGATGATCAAGAGAAACGTGAGAGATGGGTCTGATGTCGTTATTCCAACACAAAAGCTATGGTGAGGTGAGGTGACAGGGTAACAACAAGTACCAACTTTTAACATATTTTGGTCTGAAGCGGCTGAGGGGCAGTGGGGTAGCCTGGTGGTTAAAGTGTTCGCTCGTCACGCCGAAGACCCGGGTTCGATTCCCCACATGGGTACAATATGTGAAGCCCATTTTCCGGTGTCCCCCGCCGTGTTATTGCTGGAATACTGCTAAAAGCGGCGTAAAACCACTCACTCACTCACTCACTGAAGCGGCTGGATATTGAACTCCGGACCTCCCGCTCTCCGAGAGGACGCTCTACCACAAGACCACGGAGGTGGTCACAAAGCTATGGTGCTGAACAGGTCCAGAGCATATATCTTACTAAGATGGACACACACTGGATGATCAAGGAGATTGAGTGAGGAGTAACCACACCGTCCGCTCAGACACCTACCTATATATATTGGTCATAGTGAGATACAGAATACATGAATGCATCAAGAGACATACAAACAAGCTCTTGTTTATCCGATCTTCCTCCAACAGTTCCTGTAAATAGTATAACTGGGTCATAGTGGTGATTGAGTTGGGTTAACGCTGCTGTGAACAGTATTCCAGTTATATCACGGCGTGTCAGCTTAATGTGGGAGGAAAGCCCGAAGTGATGCAGGTCTCAGACGTTTACCACTTCGGTGCAACCCACGAGCACGGGTATGGTGCTGACAAACCTAGAAACATAATCAGGGTGATTGGAGATTCGAACCCACAATCATGGGTTTCTGATGTTCCCAAGGGACGCCACTCTGCATAGCAAATCGCGGCGCCTAACTGACAAGCACAAAACAAGTGTTGATTAAATAAACATAACAATGTCAATGTAAGTCCGGAAGCGTAAATCGTATGGTTAGTTGCAGAACAAACAATGCTTCATGTAATGTTGTAATGAACAACATTTTCCCTTAACAAATTCTGGAATTTTCAAAGCCAACTTCTTGAAATAAAAATTTGAAAAATTTACAAAATATGAAGGGATGGCTTATTATACATGTTGCATCTGAGAACAAAATTTACACCTACAAGATCAACACATCATTCATAATATTTTAATAATATTAGTCAATATTAAACAATATCACTCAGAAAACAGTTCAGTGTATGTTTTTCGCATCCAATGCCATTTATAATAAGCCTAAAGAAGAATGATTTCTGGAAATACGATCAGTTGTTCTTCATCAGGTAAAAATAATATACAGAAAAGTGTGATTGGGTTGCAAATGTTGAGCGGTCTGTGGTTTTGTCGTATCAAGCGTCGTATGTGGATGAAGAAACACTCCCTCCATGGCCAGTCCAGTTGGTGTGAACAAAGGTGCCGGGCTTGTCCAGAAGCTCGTACGTGTGGGCTCCGAAATAATCTCTCTGTGCCTGAAAGAATAGTATAATTTCTTTAAAATAAATAAGCATTAGGATCAGATTTGTTGCAAATACATTACAGGGTGTCAAAGCTTGTGTTTCCAAGGACAGACATTTGGCATTATGTGGCGAATGGGTTTTCTTGAAATCCTGGTTTTTAAGTGTGAACAAAAATATATAAAGACATTTCAGAGTTGACATGAGAGTGAGTGAGTGAGTGAGTATGGTTTTTAGCTGCTTTTAGCAATATTCCAGCAATATCAGGGCGGGGGACACCAGAAATGGGCTTCACACATTGTACACATGTCGGAAATCGAACCTGGGTACCCCTCCATTTCTGGCAGTTTGGACCTCTGAACCTGTTTAATTTACACAAGGGTTACTTCAACGAACCTCTCCTCTATTAGATGCTTGGGTGTCTATTAATTTTGTGCAAGCCGTTGACCCAGTGTCAATTAGAGGCTGGCATCTGATCTGTTTAATGCTGGTTTAGTGATAACTCAGTCAGTGAGTTGGGTTTAAAGATACTTTGAACAGTTTTATGTGGGAGTAAAGCCCAGGTCTCAAACACTTACCACAATGGTGAAACCCACTATCAAGAGTATAATGCTGACAAACCAAGAAACATAATCAGAGCGAACCAGAATTCCAACCTACACTCACAGGTTTCTGGTGTTCCCAAGGGAGGCAACTCTGCACAGCAAACTGTGGCACCTCAGATGACAGGGTCACCCATGCCCCTCTATCTTACCTTAGCCCAAAAGCTGTTTCCAAAGAAATATAGTCGTTCTCAAGGCACAGCATAAAAAATGGCGTCGCCGGGGATCAAAACAGCCTTGTCCACAAGTGTTATAGGTTTACACATTTAATAATGAGATGTAATGAAGCTTTTCAATGGTAGTGACTGGTCTAAAAGATTAACCTTTAGACATTGGTTCAATCCGGTCAAAGGCAACCATTTGAACAATATGTGACGCCATCTTGGATTACTAGGCAAACTACGGATGTGATCATGCGGTTGGCCGTGTTCAACAGCACCCACATGCAAGATATCGCCCTCCTCCTGAACACGTCTCAGATCCTCTTTAGTCTGATCTTATAACAAATACTGGATACTGGGAACCTTCTCTGATCCTGCACACCCAAGGGGAGATAATTACAAACGCAAGGAACTGGTCCACTGCTGTGTGGCCTCTAAGAATATCAAGTCAACGCGATCCTGAACATACCTGGATGAGGTTGGCTGGCAGTCTGGCACTGCGGTACCCATCGAAGAACGCTAGAGCTGTGCTGAAGGCCGGTGTCGGGATTCCGAGCAACACTGCTGTCGACACCACTCGTCTCCAGGCATCCTGTACATCATTACAGTGAGTGAGTGAGTGAGTGAGTGAGTGAGTGAGTGAGTGAGTGAGTGAGTGAGATAACACTCTCACTAGCCTGATTTGGATTTTTAATTGGCTTGTATACCACACGACCACTTTTGATACATGTGAACTCATGATGATATATCTGTCCCAAGTTATAATTATTTTTTGTTCAATATTGAAGGGCCAACCGATATTTTTTTCTTTCCTTGTTTTTATATAATCCACAGTCTTCTGAAGGTTTACCTTTCAGTTTTAGTAGTGAGTGAGTATGGTTTTTCGCTGCTTTTAGCAATAGTTCAGCTATATCCAGCTGGGAACACCAGAAATGGGCTTAACACATTGTACCCAAAATTACTAAAGTGTGATTTCAGTCTCTCAGCGTGTCACTATACTTGACAAGTTAATATGTCCACTTCAATATGAATATGAAACTGATTACATTCAACACATGATAACAACCGTCTGATATTTGCAATTATAAACAGTGTGTCGCATACCACATGACTATTGTTATAATTGTCTCTACCAACAGGAAATTTCACGAAAAACACATGATGGATACATTATGCACTTGTATCTTGTATTAAGAACAATGAGTGAGTGAGTGAGTGAGTGAGTTGGGTTAAACACCGCTCACTTATAACACTCTCACTTGCCTGATTTGGATTTTTAATTGGCTTGTATACCAAACGACCACTTTTGATACATGTGAACTCATGATGATATATCTGTCCCAAGTTATAATTATTTTTTGTTCAATATTGAAGGGCCAACAGATATTTTTTTCTTTCCTTGTTTTTATATAATCCACAGTTTTCTGAAGGTTTAACTTTCAGTTTTAGTAATGAGTGAGTATGTTTTTTCGCCGCTTTTAGCAATATTCCAGCAATATCACGGCGGGGGACACCAGAAATGGGCTTCACACGTTGTACCCATGTCGGGAATCGAACCCGGGTCTTTGGCGTGATGAGCGAACGCTTTAACCACTAGGCTACCCGACCGCCCCTGTACATTATTACAGTCTTATTGGGATGAAATATGGGATGAAATATTGGATGAAATATGGGATGAAACATGGGATGAAACATGGGATGAAACATGGGATGTGACAGCTGAGGTAACTCTCCAGCTGGTGCATGTATGACCCAGAATGTGATGATCGTAACTCCCATACTTCATAATATATTTGACATAATCAATGAGATAACAGAGTAATATTAGTGGTATGAAGTCCACTACTTACCATACACTTATGACAATCATGGAGACAGCAACCTTAATGCTAAGATAATTTGAAATCACTATTTTGTTCAGTGTACTTTAACACACACACTTATGATGAATCATAGTGATAAAACGATAGTTACCATGGTAACGCTCATGCTTTAACATAGATCTATGTAAATATTAGCATTCCACAAAGACATCTTACTGCTTAGGCTAGAGCCTAATTCCCTGAGAGATTTAAGACAATCATTGCATTCCATACAGATCTAAATGCTAAGCCAATCAATTTCCATTCTTCGACACAAACTTAAGACAATCAAAGTGTTTAGAATTGGACCAAGAACAAGAGCTTACAATTCATTCAAATTCAAGATTAATGCCACTTTTGGTCCACATCAAAAGCATAAAAATGTCTGTATCCCATACATAAAGCAGCTCTAAGGTACAGCAGTTTCCGAGGTAAATTGTATCTCTCACCTGACAATTCTGAATCGCTTTCTTGAAGAAGTCGTCCAAGAGGAGATTACTCAGCTCTGGGTTCTTGTCAAATGCCTGTTTGATGTTGCCAAGGAACACGCTGAAACACAGGGTTTAATCGTGACAAATCCCTCAACGTTTAACAGTGACAAATCCCTCAACGTTTAACAATGACAAATTTTCAAAGTTTAATAGTGTCAATTCCCTTAGTTTAACAGTGGCAAATCCCTTAGTTTAACAGTGGCAAATTCCTCAGTTTAACAGTGACAAATTCCTCAACATTTAACAGTGACACTGATTCAACAGCAGAGGCCTCAATCATTCAAAGATAATGAAAACAGAAAGTGATGTTAAATGCTGTTAAACATTGTGTTCAAGATTGTTTCACTAACATAACAATATGCAATTATGTGTATTTGGCTACCTGTACTAGTACAAACTAAAGCCAGTTTCATAGTGCTAGTCCACTCAGATACCATGCAACAGTTTACAAGGATACCCCACTCAACCACAGAATAATGACACCAAGCCAAAAAATCCTTGTTTTATTCCCTAATGCCAAGCACCAGGCACAGTGACAAGTACTATCATTAACTGCCAAACCACTGACCTTCCACTCTCTCTCTGTACACTCTGTCCATAGAGATCTGATGGAATCGTATCTGATAGAAGGACAAACAGGAACACAAGTGAGGTTCTGTGCAGACATATTACCTTCTGATAATGCAGCCTCCTCTCCACATTAGTGCCACTGCACCAAAGTTAAGTTTCCAATTCAGTTCCTTGGCTGTCTCCCGCATCAACATAAATCCCTGGGCGTAGGACACGATCTTGCTGGCGTACAGCGCCTGGGGACACACAGCAACATGGTCAGAATACACAGGGACCGACTCCCCACAGGAGCTGACCCACCACAGGGACCGACTCCCCACAGGGACTGACCCACCACAGGGACTGACTCCCCACAGGGACTGACCCACCACAGGGACCGACCCACCACAGGGACTGACTCCCCACAGGGACCGACCCACCACAGGGACTGACTCCCCACAGGGACCGACTCCCCACAGGGACCGACTCCCCACAGGGACTGACCCACCACAGTGATTGACCCACTAGAGAAATAACAAATCTGTCACTTATTGTTAGTGTTATCAATTACATAAATTGATTTCATCAATGATTGATTGGTACATTTTTCATCCAAAGAACTGTTTACTTATTGTTGAATAAGCAACAAACACGGCAACAACAACTGGCTAACTTTCACTCTGTTATCAGTACACAAAATTCTTTGACTACATGTAACAATGGTGTAGCTACATACCAATAGCGAATGAGTGAATATGATTTTATTCCGCTTTTAGCAATATTCCAGCAATATCACGGCGGGGGACACGGGACAATGGGCTTCACACATTGCACCCATGTGGGGAATCGAACCAGGGTCTTCTGCGTGACAAGCCAATGCTTATACCACTCGGCTACCCAACCACCCCTAAAATTCCAATACACTCCATTCATATACAACTAAAAAAGCTGAGGACGATCTGATTTTTTTCATTTTACATGAGTTAATCTGTCAAGGGATATTAAAAAATCAGGTATTCCATAGTAGTGTATTTATCCAACCTTTAATGAGGGCCATACCAAGTTAAGAAAGAACTATTAAGCAGTGAAAACGAAAACCCCCAATTCAATTTTTTTCCAGAAATGTTAATAATGTGAAGTTTTTAGGGTGAATGGTGATAGTGAGTGAGTGAGTGAGTATGGTTTTACGCCACTTTTTGCAATATTCCAGCAATATCACAGCGGGGGACACCAGAAATGGGCTTCACACATTGTACCAATGTCGGGAATCGAACCCGGGTCTTCGGCGTGACGACCGAACGCTTTAACCACTAGGCTCCCCAACCGCCCCATGTGAATTGTGATAACACAAGGACACACTTACAAAGCCTGAAAATCTACATGCCCTTGGGATACCTTTGAAGAACCGACTTGCATCTGTCATATAAACCATACGAGGGTTTGTCTGCAGCTTCTAGCTACATTACCTGTTTGATGTCATCGATGAACTTCTTCTTGTCCCCAGTGTAGGTGCTGCTCTTGGGGCCTGAGATCTGCTTGCTGGCCTGCTCGCGCTCCGCTTTTAGCGATGACAGGCAGCGCGCGAACACAGCCTCACCTGGGTGCCAAAGTAATGCTTTTTTATTACAATTAATTTTTTCTACAAACAGGAAATGTATTGTGAGTGAATCTTGTTTTACACTGCAGTCAACAATATTCCAGCTGTGTCATATCATAAAAGTCATGCTTGATATTAGAATGCTCACCATCAGTGTCAAAACAAGGTCAAATTTAATATTTATATGCAAAAGCAAATATGAACATGTGTTTGAATCCCACTAGAAACTAAACATATACCAAATTTGTTCAAAAATGGCTGATTAATCTCCAGAAATAGAATTTTCAACATGGCTGCCAAGTCGTCCATATTGAATATCAGCTTCTAACCCCTTAGTGAATGAATGAATGAATGAGTGAGATGAATGGTTGATATAATGTGGCTCTCATCTCTGTACAGCAAATTGTGGCGCCTTTGACGACTGGGCCACCCGTGCCACCTCTAACCTCTTGAATAAATTAAGGAATCATCATTTGTGGGAACAGGCATGGAAAGTTAACACTCTTCTAACTACGCATTGGCAAGATTCCACTACCTATAAGTGTGACAGGAACTCCATACTCCAGAGATGAAATGGCCGTCCATTTCCCTGTGCCTTTCTGAAATTGACGAAATTGGAAACTATCAACAACTTGAAAGAAAATATTCAAATAGAATGTACCGTAAACACTGTAATAGTCAGTGAGTATGATTTTACGCCGCTTTTAGCAAACTTTTAGCAATATCACAGCGGAGGACACCAGAAATGGACTTCACATATTGTACCCTACGTCGGGAATCGAACCCGGGTCTTCGACGTGACGACCGAAGGCTTTAACAACAAGGCTACCCGACCGCCCCTAATCACTGTAAAAAGTGCCCAAGGCACTAATAGAATTGACAAAGGGGGATGCCTATTAAACATACACAAATGGCGCCACACACTGTACCATTTGGAGAATAGAACCCAGATCCTGCCAATGACTGGCAACCACTTTACTTCCCCTTGGAAGGAAGTTGTCATGTTTAGCTGACCATTTTTTTTTATGAGTAATTAATTCTACACTGCTGCTTACCTGGCCTGCTGAGTCTCTTATTTTCTCTACAAGGTAGTCTCCCTTGTCGTCCTTGAACTTCATGATGTCCCTCGTGATCTCAATTAAGAAGGATTTTAGCTCTCCCTTGTTCCAGTCATCAAGTACCTGATATTCCAAGGAAAACAGTCAGACTAATTAGCAAAATTCTTATAAATTATATGTAATGTTTAAAGATTAACATAGGCAGAGAGAGAGAGAGGGAGAGAGGCAGAGGGAGAGAGGCAGAGAGTGAGAGGCAGAGAGTGAGAGGCAGAGAGAGAGAGAAGCAGAGAGAGAGAGAGAGGCAGAGGGAGAGAGGCAGAGAGTGAGAGGCAGAGAGTGAGAGGCAGAGAGAGAGAGAGAGGCAGAGAGAGGGAGAGAGGCAGAGGGAGAGAGGCAGAGAGTGAGAGGCAGAGGGAGAGAGAGAGGCAGAGAGGGAGAGAGGCAGAGGGAGAGAGGCAGAGAGTGAGAGGCAGAGAGTGAGAGGCAGAGAGAGAGAGAGGCAGAGAGAGAGAGAGAGGCAGAGGGAGAGAGGCAGAGAGTGAGAGGCAGAGAGTGAGAGGCATAGAGAGAGAGAGAGGCAGAGAGAGGCAGAGAGGCAGAGAGTGAGAGGCAGAGAGAGAGAGAGAGGCAGAGAGAGAGAGAGAGGCAGAGGGAGAGAGGCAGAGAGTGAGAGGCAGAGAGTGAGAGGCATAGAGAGAGAGAGAGGCAGAGAGAGGCAGAGAGGCAGAGGGAGAGAGGCAGAGAGTGAGAGGCAGAGAGTGAGAGGCAGAGAGAGAGAGAGAGGCAGAGAGAGGGAGAGAGGCAGAGGGAGAGAGGCAGAGAGTGAGAGGCAGAGAGAGAGAGGCAGAGAGAGAGAGAGAGGCAGAGAGAAGCAGAGAGAGAGAGGCAGAGAGAGGCAGAGAGAGGCAGAGAGAGAGAGGGAGGAGGGGAGGGAGGAAGACTTTAAAAAATAAAAAGGTGGAAAATTAATACCAATAAAATACAGTGTTGCTCTTTTCAATCACTGGATTTATCTGGTTATTTTTTCAAGACGTAGCTATTTATAAGCTACCAGTATATAGCTGGAATATGGTGGAAGTGTTGAGCTCAAACCATCATCAATCTTATCCTCACAAAGCAGGACCACTGACCACTGATCCATTACATGCAGAATTCTGATCATCGTCAACTTTAAAACCGAAGTAGAGAATAATGAAGTCTGTCCTAATACTAAACTAAGGCTAAAAACAATAAATCTTGGTTCTCAGGCACCGCCCTCATCATCATAAAGTCTGCCGCACATTTTTATTTCCATTTTCACAGACACAAAAAAATCGTAACATCTTAAATCAATGAGAGCCAATATAGTACTCAGTTACTTCCCTTTACATGCGCACTGCTTGACTATGCATCTCACGTTATGGTCATGCTGGGAATTGGGATTTGTATGCTTGTGTATGTAGTGAGGTTCTTTCCCAGGTTGATGGTACACAATGTTTATTTGGTTACATACAAGTTTGAAAAACTTAATTTTTTTTTTTTTTAAATCACCGTCCAAATGCACTATATTCTCAAAAGTCATTGCCTCAGAACCAATTCTTTTATTTTTTTAAGCCTAATCCTATTTCAGTTATATGCATCTTCTGTCCATCCTTATTTGAATGAAAGAAAGTCAAACACTACATACATCTGCCATTTCCGGGTGTGACAGGCCGAGAGCAGACTTCATGAGGTGGTAGGCCTCACAGATGAGCTGCATGTCGCCGTACTCAATCCCGTTGTGCACCATCTTCACGAAGTGACCAGCTCCATCAGGGCCCACCTGCACACCGGAGAAGACACAAATCAACACCACAAACAAACAAGACATACGCCCCGAATACTCCTGGGCCCACTTGCACAAAGGAATCTTAGCGCTAAGATGATCATAACTACCATACTTTAACACAGGCTTACAATAGTTGTAGCACTAAGAACGCTTTTTGCAAGTGGGTCCTGGAGTTGGGACCAATACATCATCAATACAAACTTGTTTCCAAGACTGAAATGAGGCAGAAGAGAAACAGGACATTGTTTCTGCCAAAGCTGTAATTTCAAAGTTCTTCAAAGGTTGGAAATCTGAACACACCAAAACACATTTTATGAAATGAACTGATTCTTTTTAACATTATAAATTAATTAAATTTTAATAAAACATTCATAAATTAACAAGCTTGCCTTTTGGCAATCCTATCTCACAAGTGAAAATGAAATGCTTGCCTATTGATGATCAATTAAAGTACAACTGCATACTATATTCGACGTAATAAGCGCCCCACTCTAATAAGCGCCCACAACGATATTTGCTATAAATATATTGGCCAGTGTAACATCCCAATTAGCACCCCTTCCAATTGATCAGTGTACACAAGACTTATTTATTTGTGCATAGTACGCACTCGTGTCTTAAATGCACCATTAATTATGGGCATTTAAATTCTGGAAAATATATCTGTTGTGTACAATACGCACAGACTTTTCTTTTGTATCATATTAGACGGTCCGCATAAACCACAATATTAACAATCTTTCAACTCTGTCTTTTTTTCTTACCAAAACTATATTCTAATAAGAGGCCCCTTTTTCTATTTTTGAGAGCGCCCTGGGTGCTTATTACGTTGAATACTGTATGTTTGGTATATTAAATGACAGTTTAAGGTGAAGTGATGTCTCTGGATCAAGGCATGGTTCCATCTGTGTTTCACCTACCCAGTCACAACATGGCTCCTTGCCGACCTTGGCTGATATACCCTGGAAGATATCCTTGATGTGCGGCCTGCAAACACAGGTCAAAGGATTCAGTGAGAAGATCATTTTCTGTCTCAATGATGGTACTACATATTTTTCAGAAGTGATTCTACCATGTTTGTTTATTTGTTTGTTGTTTAACGCTGCACTTGGCAATATTCCAGCGATATGATGGCGGTCTGTAAATAATCGAGTCTAGATGAGACAATCCAGTGATTGACATCTGAAACATTGATCCATGCAATTAGGATACGGTGAAATTCATCAACAAAATCAGTGAGCCTGACCACCCGATCCCGTTAGTCGCCTCTTATGAATCTGATTGGTTAATTGGGGGTATCAAATCATAATAACCACCTCTAACTGGACGATATGATAACATCACTGCAGAAGCTAATATTCATAAAGAAAAGTTCTTCTTTCTCAGTCATCATGGAGGGGCATTTTTAAATAATTGTAGACTAAATTATACATTACAAAATGCAGAGTTGCCGTTTCTACAATATTTAAAGTATGTTTGGCAAATCGTCAAAGAGAATAAATTTCAAGCTTTGAAGAGAACTTTAAATTTCGCACATTCAGTACCAAATTCAATTTAGCACAGTTAAATCTCTAGGTAATCAAGATCTACATTCAAAGCACACAAGATGTAACTTCTAAATTAAAAAATTGCTGTGAGGTAAACTTAATGGTAGAAAGGAGACATTCACACACCACGCTGCTGGCGACCCTCCCGGCATGAGGGATGGGCCGTAGCGTGCACCATCTTCACCACCGCTAACACCACTGCCAACAAAAAGTAGCCCCTTTTCTTCCAGGGATTTGGCTCTCCTCTGTAATGAGAAATTGAAGAGCTTGACAATATCAAATCATTATGAATGTCTCTACCTGAATAAATATCCAGCACAGCAGAAAGGAGTTCGTGCATATCATTACAAGTCAGCTATAGATAGGCTTTACACAGGGAGTATATAGGATTCCAAACTAAGTGCCCTTGGCAGGCAAACTGGGAAAAATTGTCATTAAGATCAAAATTGGTATTTTCTAAACTTATTTTCTTAATTTAGAGATACCTGTATTTTAATATTGCATTCAATGCGATAATGTAAACGTGAACCTTTTCCTCTTCCTCCTGTTATCAGTGCAATACAAGTGACATTAACGGAGTATCACATTCAGTATATGACATTAAATTTGTTTTCTTCCCATTTGTTACTTATTGACATTTGTTGCAGACTTGGTGCTGATGCATCGAGTGTTGCTGGAACTCATGATGGGAAAACTATGGCAGTTTTCGTCTATCTAGATGGCAGGACATTCAAGTGTTTACTTACATTGGAGTCTCGGTATTCGGAGTTGCCACCATCAATGATTATGTCCCCTTTCTCCAACAGAGGAACCTGACAACACAGAGAAAGTGGTATACAGCTTGGAATAACATGGTCTACAGCTTGGAATAACATGGTCCACAGCTGGGAATAACATGGTCCACAGCTGGGAATAACATGGTATTCAGCTTGGAATAACAAGGTCTACAGCTTGGAATAACATGGTCTTCAGCTGGGAATAACATGGTATTCAGCTTGGAATAACATGGTCTACAGCTTGGAATAACATGGTCTTCAGCTTGGAATAACATGGTATTCAGCTTGGAATAACAAGGTCTACAGCTTGGAATAACATGCTATACAGCTTGGAATAACATGGCCTACAGTTTGGAATAACATGCTATACAGCTTGGAATAACATGGCCTACAGCTTGGAATAACATGGTTTACAGCTGGGAATAACATGGTCTACAGCTTGGAAAAACATGGCCTACAGCTTGGAATAACATGCTATACAGCTAGGAATAACATGCTATACAGTTTGGAATAACATGGTCTTCGGCTTGGAATAACATGATCTACAGCAGGGAATAACATGGTCTGCAGCTTGGAATCAAGTGGTATACGGCTTGGAATAACATGGTCTACAGCTTGGAATAACATGGTCTACAGCTTGGAATCAAGTGGTATACGGCTTGGAATAACACAAGATACAGCTTGGAATAACATGGTATATGGCATGGAACAACATGGTATACACCATGGAATGACGTGGCAGGGGATAATAACATTGGTAAGGTTCACTCTATTCTGTTTATGGAACCATTCCACAGTATCTTGGTGTTATGAGTCATAACACTCTCACTAGCCTGATTTGGATTTTTAATTGGCTTGTTGTATACCACACGACCACTTTTGATACATGTCAACTCATAATGATATATCTGTCCCAAGTTATAATTATTTTTTGTTCAATATTGAAGGGCCAACCGATATTGATTTTTTTCTTTCCTTGTTTTTATATAATCCACAGTCTTCTGAAGATTTAACTTTCAGTTTTAGTAGTGAGTGAGTATGGTTTTTTGCTGCTTTTAGCAATAGTTCAGCTATATCCAGCGGGGAACACCAGAAATGGGCTTAACACATTGTACCAAAAATTACTGAAGTGTGACTTCAGTCTCTCAGTGTGTCACTATACTTGACAAGTTAATATGTCCACTTCAATATGAATATGAAACTGATTACATTCAACACATGATAACAACCGTCTGATATTTGCAATTATAAACAGTGTGTCGCATACCACATGACTATTGTTATAATTGTCTCTACCAACAGGAAATTTCACGAAAAACACATAATGGATACAGGAAATTTCACGAAAAACACATATTGGATACATTATGCACTTGTATCTTGTATTAAGAACAATGAGTGAGTGAGTGAGTGAGTTGGGTTAAACACCGCTTTTAACAGTATTCCAGTTATATCGCGGTGTGTCAGCTTGATGTGGGAGGAAACCTGAAGTGATGCAGGTCTCAGACGTTTACCACTTCGGTGAAACCCACGAGCATGGGTATGGTGCTGACAAACCTAGAAACATAATTGGGGCGAACCGGGATTCGAACCCACAATCATAGGTTTTTGGCGTGCCCAAGGGACAACTCTGCACAGCGAATCGCGGCGCCTTAGACGACTGGGCCGACCGTGCCCCCTCTTAAAAACAATGAAGAAAACAGCGTTACCATGGTGCTGACAAACCTAGAAACATAATCGGGGCAATCCAGGATTCGAACCCACAATCATAGGAATCTGGTGTGCCTAAGGGCCACAACTCCGCACTGTGAATTTCGGCACCTTACTTAGATGACTAGGTTACCCACACCCCCAAGGATTCACTTGGTTACTAGAGAAGCTATTTGTAAGAGTAACTTTGATATTAGTTAGAGTCATTCTCAGTGGATATCACATTTCATCAAGCAAAGTTGATTTTGAAAAAAAACCAAAATGCTGCTGATCATGTTGATCGTACAAGGAGTGCTTTCATTTACTGTATTCACTGTAATTAGCTCCATGCACTTAGAAATGTCTTTAGATACTTTGCGGTAGTGAACAAACAGAATGTTTCACCAATAGTTACAATGCAATTATATACCTCTTCCGTTTTCTGTAAAAAAACAAACCAATACAATATGGACGGTAAATTTGTTAACATTTTTTTAATATAGTTTTTAAATGGACGGTAAATATTTGTTCTTATTGGTTGCACTTACAATGATGACTAACAGACTCGGCCCACGTGCACAAAGCGATCTTAGCACAAAGACTATTGTAAGCCTATGTTAAAGTATGGGAGTTACGATCATCTTAGCGCTAAGATCACTTTGTGCAAGTGGGCCCTGGTCTGGAATTTGGTTAGGGGAGCCAAAATGGAACAAGGTGATTATTACAGCGAATACAGCAAATATCATGTCTATCAGACTATATAAGTGAAACTCAGGTGTGGTATCGATGGCATCCACTGATATCTTAGCCTGCCATTAAGGTAATAATCTCCATTGGGCCATGAACAAAAGCACTGCATGGCTTGTTTCCTCAGTCTCCATTCCACTAATGGAAAGATTCAAGCAGCATGATTTGGGCAATGAATGACAAATGACTCCTATGCCATGTATACTACACTGATCACATAGCTTCACTTAGAAATGGAAAGATAAACTTCAGTGATAATGGTTGACATTAATGAGGGCTCCTGCTGATTTCTATCTGGTCAGGGACAATTAACCATATGCAACAGCTTGACCACCCATCCACATCGTCAAGTATGAAGACTGATTTAAATGTGGTGTGACACATCTTCATCGGAAGGTTGCTCTTTAAAGATGTTTGCCTTTTCACGCTGAAATGTAACTGTCCATGCTTACTTTAGGGAGGTTACAATCACAATCTCAACTTTTTGTATGACATGCAGTATTTGCCGTATTAAGAACCCCTCTCCAATAAGAGACCCCTGACCAACTCCTAAAGCAATCTGTAAGTAATATTAATAAGTATGTCCTACTAAGAAAGTTTACATCACAGTCCATATTGTTTTGTGAATATTAGTGCTGAAGGAGTATGCTATCGCCCAGTAACTATTATGAAAAAGTTTCATTTTCATTAACATTTGATTAACATTTGAACTAAGTTTCTGCACTACTTCCGATCTCTGAAAACAATTTTAGGTTATCAAATGTCTTGTGTGCTTATAATGGCAAGTACAGAATATTTACCAAGTCAAATCTTCAAAATATTTGACTAAAACCAAGAGGATGCCATGGTGTTCTATGTATGTATAAGGTGAGGTGAAATTGGGTTTAACGTCGCGTCCAAGATTATTGCACTTATATAGCGACGTGCATGTACGTGTGTGTGTTTGTGTGGCTGCTTGTACTAGTATGGACTGATGCCGATTTATAGTGCTAGCTCACCGAGATACCATGCCGCAGTTTAACATGAATACCCCACTCAGACACAGTATACTGACTCCGAGCTAACCAGTCCTTGTTTTAGCCCCTTAATGCCGAGCGCCAGACAGGATAACAACAAGTACCGTCTTTTAACGTCTTTTGGTATGACGCGGCCGGGGATCGAACCCCGGACCTTCTGCTCTCCGGGCGGACGCTCTACCACAAGACCACGGAGGTGGTTCCATGTATGTATAAAGCATTTGAAGTGTTCTGCATTGCTAACAACAGTCGTAAAATGAAATGACACGACTGAAACACAATGAAGGGAAACACATAACTCACTCACTCACTCACTCTGGTGCCAGGAATGTGATGTAATTATGATCTGTCTTTATATGTTGCTAACAAAAGGGGTGTGTTTTAATAATGTAGAAAGCTATCCTGAAATCTGACCAGTTTGTCGATGAAGGCGTCGACTGCCTGTCCAGCCTTGACCAGCATCATAACCCGCCGTGGCTTCTTCAGCAACTTCACCATCTCCTCCAGTGACTTGGCGCCGATCACCTTCGTGCCCTTGGCTTCCTTTGCCAAGAAGTCCTCCACTTTGGACACAGTCCGGTTGAAGGCAACCACCTACAACACATCAACACAGCCACTACAATATTACACAAGGTCCACCCTGGACACAGTCCGGTTGAAGGAACCACCTACAACACATCAACACAGCCACTACAATATTACACTAGCTCCACCTACAACACATCATCACAGCCACTACAATATTACACTAGCTCCACCCTGGACACATCAACACAGCCACTACAATACTACACTAGCTCCACCTTGGACACATCAACACAGCCACTACAATATTACACTAGCTCCACCTACAACACATCATCACAGCCACTACAATATTACACTAGCTCCACCTACAACACATCATCACAGCCACTACAATATTACACTAGCTCCACCTACAACACATCAACACAGCCACTACAATATTACACAAGGTCCACCCTGGACACAGTCCGGTTGAAGGAACCACCTACAACACAGCAACACAGCCACTACAATATTACACTAGCTCCACCTACAACACATCATCACAGCCACTACAATATTACACTAGCTCCACCCTGGACACATCAACACAGCCACTACAATACTACACTAGCTCCACCTTGGACACATCAACACAGCCACTACAATATTACACTAGCTCCACCTACAACACATCAACACAGCCACTACAATATTACACTAGCTCCACCTTGGACACATCATCACAGCCACTACAATATTACACTAGCTCCACCTACAACACATCATCACAGCCACTACAATATTACACTAGCTCCACCTACAACACATCAACACAGCCACTACAATATTACACTAGCTCCACCTACAACACATCAACACAGCCACTACAATATTACACTAGCTCCACCTACAACACATCATCACAGCCACTACAATATTACACTAGGTCCACCTACAACACATCATCACAGCCACTACAATATTACACTAGCTCCACCTACAACACATCAACACAGCCACTACAATATTACACTAGCTCCACCTACAACACACCAACACAGCCACTACAATATTACACTAGCTCCACCTACAACACATCAACACAGCCACTACAATATTACACTAGCTCCACCTACAACACAGCAACACAGCCACTACAATATTACACTAGCTCCACCTACAACACAGCAACACAGCCACTACAATATTACACTAGCTCCACCTACAACACATCAACACAGCCACTACAATATTACACTAGCTCCACCTACAACACATCAACACAGCCACTACAATATTACACTAGCTCCACCTACAACACAGCAACACAGCCACTACAATATTACACTAGCTCCACCTACAACACATCAACACAGCCACTACAATATTACACTAGCTCCACCTACAACACATCAACACAGCCACTACAATATTACACTAGCTCCACCTACAACACAGCAACACAGCCACTACAATATTACACTAGCTCCACCTACAACACATCAACACAGCCACTGCAGTATAACACTAGGTCCACCTACAACACATCAACACAGCCACTACAATATTACACTAGCTCCACCTACAACACAGCAACACAGCCACTACAATATAACACTAGCTCCACCTACAACACATCAACACAGCCACTACAATATTACACTAGCTCCACCTACAACACAGCAACACAGCCACTACAATATTACACTAGCTCCACCTACAACACAGCAACACAGCCACTACAATATTACACTAGCTCCACCTACAACACATCATCACAGCCACTACAATATTACACTAGCTCCACCTACAACACAGCAACACAGCCACTACAATATTACACTAGCTCCACCTACAACACATCAACACAGCCACTACAATATTACACTAGCTCCACCTACAACACATCAACACAGCCACTACAATATTACACTAGCTCCACCTACAACACAGCAACACAGCCACTACAATATTACACTAGCTCCACCTACAACACATCATCACAGCCACTACAATATTACACTAGCTCCACCTACAACACAGCAACACAGCCACTACAATATTACACTAGCTCCACCTACAACACATCAACACAGCCACTGCAGTATAACACTAGGTCCACCTACAACACAGCAACACAGCCACTACAATATTACACTAGCTCCACCTACAACACATCATCACAGCCACTACAATATTACACTAGCTCCACCTACAACACATCAACACAACCACTACAATATTACACTAGCTCCACCTACAACACATCATCACAGCCACTACAATATTACACTAGCTCCACCCTGGACACATCAACACAGCCACTACAATATTACACTAGCTCCACCTTGGACACATCAACACAGCCACTACAATATTACACTAGCTCCACCTACAACACATCTTCACAGCCACTACAATATTACACTAGCTCCACCTTGGACACATCAACACATAGCTACACAAGGTCCACTTCATTTGAAGAGGGATCACATCACAGTGTTTCAAGGCCATTTCTCACACGTGCATCTCGTAAACATAAAATGCCAATAAGTTGTCATCCTCACTGATTAAAATGTTCTCAATTTCTTGAAAATATACCAGCCAGGGGTTTTTACTGTTTGATGTTGATGTACAGAGACAGTTGTGAAAAGTCAGCACCACTCGTCTGCATGATGACAACATTTTTGTCAGAAGTTTGCTTCTGCAGACAGGGCTTGTCAGCCATGAGGTCGTAGCGCCACTCTTAGAATTTGGACCGTGGACCTTATTCATATATTGTAACCTGCGTGTCACAATAAACGACCACTCCTTTTGTTAGAATATTGAGAAGGAAGATTGTCTGGGCAAATAACTTCCAAATCATATATTCAATGAAACTCTGTTAAACAAGAAATGTCAAAACTTTTGTACGAACAGGGTTTCATTGTTGTCAGTTTGCTGCCGCTACGGGATAATAGAGTGACTGAGTGTTCCTCAAATCTTGAACAGTATAAGTGCATGGCGGCAGTTCGTATCTTAACCTTTTCCAGATTCCATAGGTAAAATAGAGGTCCCCAGCTTAAAACCTGGAACCCTCAAAATGTATTACTGGGAGTCCCCAGGACTTAACACTAACTGACCCTAGCAGGTACATTGGGAAAAGAAATAATTATTTTTTTCAAGATTCAGATATGTATAAAGTATTTATTTTCTTAAATTCACATACATTTTAACATTGAATTTTAATATTATAACAACTATAACTGATAACAGCATGTACTGGGAATGGCTTAATTCCAATTTAGGAATTTTGACTGACATTTGATGCTGACTTGGGGCTGTCTATTGGCCTCTGAGCACATATAGATAAATATGTTATCTGTGTTGAGGAATCATTAGAATCAACGACCCATGAAGATCCGCGGTAGAATGGGTCTTCAGCAACCCATGCTTGCCGTAAAAAGCAACTATACTTGTCTTAAGAGAAGACTAACAGGATCAGGTGGTCAGGCTTGTTGACTTGGTTGATGCATGTCATCGTATCCAAATTGCAGAGATTGATGCTCATGAAGTTAATCACTGGATTGTCTGCTCCAGACTCGATTATTTACAGACTGCAGTCACATTGCTGGAACATTGCTGACCAACATCAGAACCAACGACTCCACAATCAATAGGCCTGGGATAAGGGACTCAACACAAACATGATATGCACCATATCTGTCCCACAACACGATGCATTTCATAATACACAACAATACCATAGCCGAAACTCTAAACCCAATCAATTGAATATGGTTGTATATATATCTTCTGTCTACACATGACTTTATCCAAGAAATTACTGCTCACTCCTAAAGAAATACTTGTAATTACAGGGCTCAAAATTACAAGTGCACACATAAAATAGGAAATGGTACATAAAACTTTTATGTACAGTGCCTCGTGGACATGGTCATTTTCATTAAAAGTACTTACGTTAATGTTTACTTTACGTCTTGACAAAATCAAAGTGAGAAATGAAAGAGTTTTGCAAATTAGTCGCATGTTCCACTATCGCTAAACAACTTCCTGTGATAAAATCAATCTGCATAATCAGTGATTTCCATCAACTGGATCTTACATTTGAATAAATTTGCTCCTTTCTGTATTTTGACAGAATATCCCGAATATAATGTTTGCTTTGTGTTTGAATGTAATGTCGTCTTTCTGTATTTTGACGGAATATCCCGAATATAATGTTTGCTTTGTGTTTGAATGTAATGTCGTCTTTCTGTTTTTTGACAGAATATCCCGAATATAATGTTTGCTTTGTGTTTGAATGTAATGTCATCTTTCTGTATTTTGACAGACTATCCCGAATATAATGTTTGCTTTGGGTTTGAATGTAATGTCGTCTTTCTGTATTTTGACAGAATATCCCGAATATAATCTTTGCTTTGTGTTTGAATGTAATGTCGTCTTTCTGTATTTTGACAGAATATCCCGAATATAATGTTTGCTTTGTGTTTGAATGTAATGTCGTCTTTCTGTATTTTGATGTAATATCAAGAAGGTCTTGCATCTCAAATGGAAATGGTTATGTCTTGCTGACTGATGTGAAAAACCTAGAAGACCTATATAAGTAAGCATATTACACATGTGAAGACCTCTCTATACTATACTATACTATACTATACCACATAACATTAATGTCATTAAACATTGGATCTCATGGATAAGCTGCCTTTTGCTGTAATTATTGGGTAATATAGACACGACACACCTAAATGCAAAATGTGAACTTTAAATACAGGTCCCTTGCCCAGGGGAACACCTGATTTTTTTTCCAATTTCAAGCCCTGAAATATAAAAATACAGTTGCATATTGACATGATAATCCTTGAAAACAATACACATGCTCACATTAACCAAACAAAGATACATTTTTTGCAATATCAATCTATCATTTTTTTAATCAGTCACTTCTCCCTCAATTCATCGTCCAGTGCTTATGAAAACAAGTAACCATGGTGACAAAGAGACCAGGAAGTGATATTGGACAAGGGTGTACTATGTACACTTCCTCTGCATATTGTGTAGGTGTGTAGATATAGCCTGATACATAATCTCAACAGCCTTGTCAACAACGTTAATTTACTTCCCCCATGCTGCCTGCACACATCACCGACCCCCAGCGAAGATCCGGGGTAGAACATGTAGAATAGGTCTTCAGCAACCCATGCTTGCTGTAAAAGGTGACTATGCTTGTGTCGTAAGAGGCGACTAACGGGATCGGGTGGTCAAGCTCGCTGAATTGGTTGATGTGACCTATAACATGTAACTTGAAAACTGCTAAATGGATTCTTATCCAATTTTGGGGACAGTTTTTATACCAATAGGAGAGCTGCAGGCAAAGTTTTATTTCAACAAATGGATTTGCTGAGAAAATATTGCTATTTTCATGTTTTGAACTTAGAAATATGTCAAAGTATTAGCCAGCCCTGCTCACTTTTTGTCTTATTAAGTTATGTTGATAAGAATCCATTTAGCAGTTTTCAAGTTACATGTTATAGGTCACACAAATGTTGAAGTTCACAAGATAAAAAAAAATATTATCAAAAAAATACATATATCAAAATCAATTTTTGCACTGCACCCATTATATTAGCTGATTAGTATGAAATTTGTTCCAAAAATTTGAAAAAGAATCCATGCAGTAGTTTTCAAGTAGTAGGTCTAAAAAATGACTAATTAAATAAATTCTGAGTAAAAAAACTGAAAAAAAAACCCTTTATATTTTCAGAAAATCAAAATATAGAAATAAAAAGAAGAAGAATCTATTTAGTAGTTTTCAAGCTGTAGGTCGCACACAAAAATGTCCTTGGATGGACGGATGGACTGACAGACGGAATTCCTTGGTATAGCTAGCTATATATCCCCGCCCTTTTAGGTCGTGGTATTAGAACACGAATTAAATCAATTGCATATTTTTAGTATTTAATGTTTAATATCATCCAATATATGTCCATACGAGACATAACAAGTTAAATGTACCACATGTGTTGATATATGTCCGACAACTCAAATTTGACAATATTTCATTCGATCATGAATTGCAGTTTATAAAATCCTGGTAATCTTAAATACATGTACTGGTAATACAATGTTTGATCAACAACATGCTTTATTGTTTAATAATCTTCTTTTGACTTAAGTTTTGTTTAACATTTATTTTGAAAATGAGTTTTGTATCATATCCATTAGGAACAGACTCTGACAATGTTGTTTCATATTTATATCTTTTACCTCCTGTAACCATGACAACCATAGCCATAAACAAACTTTCAATGCAATAGTGACCAAAATCAAGTTCTAATTCATTGATTCTGTCTGCTTGGACGTCCAGCCAGGATCATTGACCCTTCAACAAAACAAACGACTAAATTTCTGACCAACATAAGGTTCCTGGCCATATATTTCTGACCCTGGGCCCATTATTTTCACAGGTTAATGACTCATAAATATTGCAACTGATTTGTACTCAACTCCCTGTGACACTGATGAAGCAGAAGGACTGGGTCATACTTAAATTCACATGTCAGCCATGATGGGGATATCAACTTGTCATTGACCTCCATCATTTCAATATGCTTTTGTTTGTTTGTTGTTTAATGCAGCACTCGGCAATATTCCAGCTATATGATGGCGGTCTGTAAATAATCGAGTCTGGACCAGACGACCCATTTATTGACATCATGAGCATCGATCCATGCATTTGGGAAACGATGACATGCGTCAACCAAGTCAGCGAGCTTGACGACCCGATCCCGTTAGTCGCATGGATTGCTGAAGAACTATTCTAACCCGGATCTTCACGAGTGATTTCAACATGTTGAGGCCAATTCTGGTGTTCTGTATAACAGAAGAACTATTCTAACCCGGATCTTCACGAGTGATTTCAACATGTTGAGGCCAATTCTGGTGTTCTGTATAACAGAAGAACTATTCTAACCCGGATCTTCACGAGTGATTTCAACATGTTGAGGCCAATTCTGGTGTTCTGTATAACAGAAGAACTATTCTAACCCGGATCTTCACGAGTGATTTCAACATGTTGAGGCCAATTCTGGTGTTCTGTATAACAGAAGAACTATTCTAACCCGGATCTTCACGAGTGATTTCAACATGTTGAGGCCAATTCTGGTGTTCTGTATAACAGAAGAACTATTCTAACCCGGATCTTCACGAGTGATTTCAACATGTTGAGGCCAATTCTGGTGTTCTGAATGACAACAGTGTTGTGAATGTTGCAGGGTAGACACCATGGGTCACATCCAACAACAATCTGCAGCTTATTTTGGACAAGTGTTCATGAAAATAAACGATTTTCGTTGAAAAAACCTTATCCCTTTAAACTTTCAGTAGTCTCGTACTTATGGGCTCGTGTATGTGTCTATCACTGTGTACGTGCCCATTTTACCAGCAGTAACAATACTTCCCCACATGACCAGACTTAGAATGTGACTCACTGATGAGATACGAGAATTAATAAATCAATGTTTGATGATACAGTGAGTAATATTCAAGATTTTTATGTCTGATTATAAACAATCACTTCTGGTCCTGTCAAACTGGAATGACCGGCAACATACCCACCTGACAGTAATACTACTACCCTACATGACACGACTTAGAATGTAACTCAACGATGGGAAACTAGAGTGAAAGGGTGAATAAATATTGTGTGACGCCAGAACTTGAGATTAACTGAACTGAAATACGCAGAAAATTCAAATCCTAATGTATCAATTATGCAACAAAAACTTTAAAGATGCTATTGAAATAAAACTAATGTGTATATTAGAACTTTTTGATAAAATAAATTTGTATCAGCCGATCACAAATTTAATTAACCAACAGTTACATTCTTCTTATGTGACAAACTAACTAAATACCGATAGATTCCAATTGAAAAGCACATCGAGCCTAGTCAATTTATCATAACAGTCGCTGATTGGTGTTTTAATAAATAGCTCCTTTCTTACAATCCTAAGTTTTGCAAACAAATAAGGCTTCCCGGAGAGGGAGCTGAAAGCAGACACAGATGAGTAAACTTCTATTTATTTAGTTTTAAATGACTTACAGGGATTGTTACAAAACAGGTTAAAATACCAAAAGGTCAAGAAACAGGTTGGTAAAATACATTTGAATACCCTCTAAAAATTGTGGATATCCAATCAAAATCAAACTGCAGGGTAAAATACCAACAGGTTGTTAAACATGGTGGCAGCAGCATCCATTACCCAGCCCGTCAGGTGACAATGACACACAATCAACCAGGTCACACCTTGAAACCATCTGACTGTCATTTAAATTGCTTCTATCACAGGCTGCTCGGGACCCAGTCTACCTCAAGACTCCCCCTATGAAAAAACAATTCACCAAAGTCCAATGTGGAGATCAGCATGGGGCATCGGGTACTTGTGCTGCCCCAAAACAACAGTAGAACTGCATGGTGGACTGGGGACGAAACCAGGGGAGACAACCATGGGGCACTGGGCACAAAACCAGGGGAGACAATTATGAGGAAGACAAGCAAGGGCACCGAAAGCCAACTCTACTCTGGAATCCCCGTGGGGTTGACCACACAGACATACTTACTGTGAATCCATGGTCATTCATGTTGAGGACGAGATTCTGACCCATCACGGCCAACCCAATCAGGGCCAAGTCTCCTCTGAAACACAAATATTCATCATTACTGAAACACAAATACTCGTCATTACTGAAACACATTGTTACACTACCATATTTGACTTAATAAGCGCCCAGGGCGCTCTCAAAATTAGAAATAAGGGACGCTTATAAGAATATAATTTTGGTGAGAAAAAAAAAAGTGGAAAGATTGTAAATTTCGTAGTTTATGCTGACAGCCTGAAATGATACAAAAGAAAAGTCTGCGCGTATCACACACGACATATGTTTTCCAGAATTTAATTGCCCAGAATTAAGGGTGCATGTAACACACGAGTGTGTATTATACAAGAATAAATAAATGCACATTGATCAGGAGTGCTAATTGGGATCGTTCACTAGCCAATATATGAGCAAATATCGCCGTGTGCGCTTATTAAAGCGGGGTGCTTATTACATAGAATAAGGTACATCAATGATCGAGATTATTGTATATTTGCCTGTTCCTCATGGTTGATATTTTTTAGATGACAATGTTGTAACTGAAGAACAAACAACATGACACAAACAAAAATGGAGACTATTTTTTATAGTAAATATCATATATTACCAATTAAGATTGTATTATGCAAGTCTTTGATGAGTCTTTGAAGTTGAAGGGACCAACGTAAATACTTCGAGTTATCCGAAGTTTGACACAATCGAAAATGAAGAATAATGAAGGAATACCCATTCTTTAAACTTCGAAACAACCATAAGTTTGACACATCAAAGTTTGACACAATGGTTGTCACAAATCAAAAGTAGAACTAAGGATATACAGCACACATTATTACAAACGAAAAAGAAAAATACTTTAGGTTGATTACATTTATTACAGTCAACAATATTCACATCCGGTTAAGTCAACATAGTTCACAACATCAGGTTAAGTCAGCATAGTTCACAACATCAGGTTAAGTCAGCATAGTTCACAAAAATCAGGTTAAGTCAGCATAGTTCACAACATCAGGTTAAGTCAGCATAGTTCACAACATCAGGTTAAGTCAGCATAGTTTACAACATCAGGTTAAGTCAGCATAGTTCACAAAATCAGGTGTCCCATTCAAAGGTCGGTGATGGATGTACCAATTTAGGGATCGCAAGTAGGAGCAATCACACTAAGGCCTGAAAACATGAAAAATGCCTAACTACTAGGTGACAACTATCATGTATTTTCATTACCAGAAGTTAAGAACATTGAAAATAACATATATAACAAGCTATATTTCCATGATGGGCAATCCTTTTGGCAAAGCAAACTTTATTTATAATTAAACACGAAGTAACTATTCCACACATTTATCCTTGAAATAACACAATATTATATTCACAAAAGCCTTTCTGGCCAGGTCTTACGACAGTGAAAGATCAACTGTGTCTTAACACTGCTAAGACATGGCTTTATATAATCAAGTCAGAGACAAAACGCATGCTTTTCACATGTCAAACGCATGTCAAAATGGTGTGTTTGGGCATCCTGTTCCAGTATTAAGGATGACATCTACCCCTACCAAAATACATCCCCAAAAGTAATGATAAAAGAGCACACGATGTGACAATGGTGTTTGACTTTTCATGGACTGAAGTAAACTTCAGAAATAACATTGGAATACAATGCTCAAATGAACTGCCCATCTATTGTATAGAGCAATCATAGGTTTCTGCTGTGCCCAAGGGACGTAAGTCTGCACAGCGAATCGCAGTGCCTTAGACGACTGGGCCACCCATATCCTTGAATAACCAAAGGGAGTTTGCGTGCATTCTCAGGAGCAAGGCGCATTTACTAACTGCTGCGCCATATTCAAATCTCACCATGTTTACCAAAAAGGGATATAGGAAAAGCACTCAACATCAACACTTTTGCAAAAAAATGCAAATTGTAACATCTAAAATCTTAAAATACTTAAACCACATGTGGATAAAAGTTCATATGTATGAAAACATAACATCTATCTGTTAGTGTGCTTATTTAGCTTGTATCGAGCTTACGAATTATGTTCGCATGTCGTTATTTCGCCCAGTTTCTAATATTCAGTGACATTCCATGGATGACATCATACAGTGCTTCGATGTCACCAAATTAATTTTCAATGCAGAACATTGCTGTGCTGCTCCCATTCATCTACATGTATTCATAGATCGGACTAGCCAGTAATGTAAAATAACAAGATTATAGGCTGAACCAACTGGTCCCTTTAGATTTTCACTAGTCTTGGACAGTGGACCAGCGGCTGTGTCTATCACTGAAAGTGAAGCTCTAATGAATACAGTCACATTTCAACTAGAAGCATGTCCGCAAAATTATTTCATAAAATACAAAACTAGGTTTCAAATTACAGAACAATTCCAATATGTCTGCCGACTTCACAAGCTGTCACAGAAATGATGGACACAGTGAGTGTCAATACCCATGTAACTGAGATTGCTTCATTTGTACACACATCATGGCAGTTTCCACAGGAAGGTATTGATCAAGCCATCAGACAAGGCTGGAGCTAATTGACATGATTAAATTAGGGCTTTCAATTTGTTGCAGATCCTTTCACAGCACCAATAAAGTCTCCATTTTAGTACTCCTGACCATGGGCTGTCCTTTTTCCCCAAGTTAGACACTTGAGTGTTATGGTTACTCTACTTTACGTTGGGGCTCAAGTGACCAGTTACAAATACCTCATGGAAACAAACACCCTACCATGGCCCAAAGAAGAAAACCAGAGTAAAAGAGTCTTAGATGCTTACATTTTATCATAAATTCAATAGTTGTGAGGATATTGTCATAGCGACTGATTTACGACATCCATTGTCTGAAGGACATTTGATTGCAAAGGCTCATTACCCTGGAGCCATGACATCTATATGCCTTGAAACACTTAATTGCTGTTATTTATTAGATGCTAATCCTATTTGTTAATCCCCATTTTTGTGTACATCGACCGTCTGCCATCCTGAACAGGATGTGCAAATAGATTTATTACTTACTAAATGTCAGGTGACCTTGGCTATATAAGCCTTGGTCCAGAGAGATTGAGAGAGGAGAGAAGGGGTTTGACTCTCTTACCAAGCAGACCTCTCTCCCACAGCCCAGAGTGTTGTACCGACTCTCTGTGGCACCCTCAGTTATTTTCTAAGATATTGTAAATTGTTAATTGTTCTTGTAAATAAAATTGTGATTAGTCTCCTGTGACTCCGGCTCTTTGCTGACTAATTCCCAAAGAAAACCAGCACGCCATTTGGAAGGTATTGTTCACCGAGAACAGTTCCATGATAATTTGCTTAAAATGATAATTTTATATTTTTGTTTGTGCAGTGATCAACATAGCCTTTCGCCTATTTTTAACATTGATGTCTACACAACAGATGTATATATTTGTCACCTATGTAAGGTTTTTCTCCTTTATTTCCAGTTGTCATTTATCATTCAGAATCGTCCTTGAACTCAATGAAGCTTTTGTATCATGCGTACAAAGGAGCTAATTTCCGAAACACAATTACAAGTTGATTTACTTTCTGAGTCAAGCCTATATATTTAGAACAGTTATATACAAAAACATAATTTCATTTTTTTTTCAAAATCTTAAAATGTTCACTAAATTGGGGAAAAACCCAATAGAGTGATGAATGGATGAGTGAAATAATATTGGTTACCCAATGAAAAATGTTATAACCCAATTAAAATAGAAACCCTAGAGTAAAAACTCAATTGCTCAAAAAGTTATCCGGAGCTCTGAACCATTTATGTTTTTTTCATGAGAGTTTATACTTCTTTGACAACAAAATGCGACAAAATATTCAAATACAGTCCGAATTGAATTCCTACACAGAGTGATGGGAATTGAAAAGCCGCTAAAACAAGAGGTCACCCTGACCACAGACGCAATCGCTTTATCAATATTGAAGTCATAATGACTTGCATGTTGTTTGTGCACATTGTGGGGAGTGGAGAAACCTGCTTTACTACCCATGTTAGGAGTGCTTCTCAACATCTATTTGTTTTAAGGCACTTCATCCATCTACAGTGTCTTTAGTCAGTGAATGGCCATATCTAGTCTTGGTCTAAATTGAGGTGAGGTGTCATGGGGTTTAACATTGCGTCCAAGATCATCGCACTTAGATAGCGACGTGCATTAATGTGTGTGTGTGGCTGCTTGTACTTGTCCGGACTAATGCTGATTTATAGTGCTCGTTCACTGAGATAACATGCCGTATTTTAACATGAATACCCCACCCAGACACAGTATACTGACTCCGAGCTAACCAGTCTTTATTTTAGCCCCTTAATGCTGAGAGCCAGACAGGGTAACAACAAGTACCGTTTTTTAACGTCTTTTGGTATGACGCGGCCGGGGATCGAACCCCGGACCTTCCGCCCTCCGGGCGGACGCTCTACCACTAGACCACAGAGGCGGTCTCTTGGTCTAAATATCAAATTACTGATGTCTAAACATGTAATGTGAAACAGCGACATGTTTTATGTGTAAATAGGGTAGGTTGCAGGTTCAAATTCTGAAATGATTCTTTCATAATTACTATAGTTATGGCATACATAATTAATAATTCACTGTCAAGAAACATTTATTAAGGTTACCAAAGTTAAGACAGACAATGAAAACAGAAAATTTTAAACATCCTTGTTCATATTTAGCATTAAGTTGATTATTTGCAGGTCTACATAGGTAATTTTCATCTATACACATAAAGAATAATTAATCTCATCGTTAATCGATATCTCGTAATACCTCTGAGTCGATATCTGAATACTTAAATTCCTATTCAATACAGCCCTACTTTGCACATATTGTTTGTTTGTTTGTTTGTTGTTCAACGCCGCACTCGGCAATATTCCAGCGGCATGAAGGCGGTCTGTAAATATTCGAGTCTGGACCAGACAATCCAGTGATTGACATCCTGAGCATCAATCCATGCAAATGGGAATAAACCAAGTTGGCGAGCCTGACCACCCGATCCATTTAGTCACCTCCAATGACAAGCATAGTTGCCTTT